GAGAGAGAGAGAGAGCGAGAGAGAGAGAGAGATAGAGATAGAGATAGATAGATAGAGAGAGAGAGCATACCAGAGTTCTTGGGGTAAATAGTGGTAGAACCCGATATAGGTAGAACAACATTGTGGATGGTGAAGTCGCCAATATTATCTTCAGTGACAAACTCGGGCACCTGTATGTATATTGAGAGAAGACACACATGTACAATCAGGATACACAGGTACAATCAGGATACACATGTGATGACCAGTAGCCCTCTAGCTCTTTAAAGCAATGAAAATTATGAGAAAAATTCTAACAAGGAGATCAAGACGAGAGCCTAATTGTCGACAGCATCCTCATCCCTAGAGATGAGACTTGTCCTAAGGCGTAGTAGTGCTTGATTGAGCGCATTACAACAGTTTGGTGCACTTCTTCGAAGTGGGGATTGGTCAAACCCAACAGTAAATTGTCCTGTCCAAATTTATTACAAAATTGAAATCCTTTCAATGCGAACACCACTCGATGACAAGCAAACCTAAAACAAAGTTGTTGCTGCTGTATATCCACACAAAAGCATATCACGATTCAAGCAGCAAAGCAGGACACAGTGAGTGCATTGTCAAGCGTGTCCACCTCGTCACATGGTAGTAACCCTAGAGGACAGGGGCCACCGGAACTGTCTGCACATTGTGTGCAAGCAGTGAAGTGAAAACTAGAATTCAGACTTTGTATTAAAGGGGAAGTTAAGGCAAAAATTAAAATTTCACCAGTTGTAGTCTTCGGGGTGCTGAGTCGAATGGTCGTGGTCCGAGGAAGCTGAGACGCTCCCTTCCTACTTGAATCCCAATCGAACTCGCGCACTTCCACCGAAACTGGGTGACTGCGCCCTACTAGATGGGGATTTGTATGCAAAATGTCACTAAAAGCGCCATTTCGTTCTTATAAAAGCATGGATGACCGCGATTGGCCCATATGTTGTAGTCTTTTGGACGCAGAATCGATTGGTTTTGGTCCGAAAAGGCTGCGATGCAGCGTTCCTCCTTTATTCCCAATCGAACATGGTTGAACAAGCGGTCACGTGCTCCTGCGTACGCCAGTCACCTGGTCACCGTGCCTGCAGGGTACAACTTACTAGCCTGTTTGACCTTTTTTGGCTGCAGTCCTGTCACTCGAGTTGAACTCGAGTTGAACCTTGGTGTGAAAGTTGTCGCCTGCTGGCGTGGTGACCAGGTGATTTGGGCACCCAGGAGCACGTGACCACTTGTTCAACCATGTTCGATTGGGAATAAAGGAGGAACGCTGCATCGCAGCCTTTTCGGATCAAAACCAGTCGACTCAGCGTCCAAAAGACTACAACATATGGGCCAATCGCGGTCATCCATGCTTTTATAAGAACGAAATGGCGCTTTTAGTGACATTTTGCATACAAATCCCCATCTAGTAGGGCGCAGTCACCCAGTTTCGGTGGAAGTGCGCGAGTTCGATTGGGATTCAAGTAGGAAGGGAGCGTCTCAGCTTCCTCGGACCACGACCATTCGACTCAGCACCCCGAAGACTACAACTGGTGAAATTTTAATTTTTGCCTTAACTTCCCCTTTAAACCGCATACCACCAAACAAGCTGTGGCAGCAGCAGCAGCGAGGAAGTAGTGATAGAACAATGTAGTAGAGCGCCAATGCTGTAGTGTCTGATAGAGAACGATGTATGCAAAATACATAGCCCTGTTGTAGAACTACATGACATGACATGTACGGTAGTTTTACATGGCGACGAATTTTGCAAGAATTTACTACACTGTAGAAAATTCTTGCAGGCGCAACAGTATGTGTGTCCTTCTTACCGGTGGCTTGTATTCACTATCCCCATCATCTGGGATAAACAGCAAGATAGTTATGCACAAATACCGTGACATACGCACACATACACACACACACAATCGCACGAACACACACACAAGCGCCCGTGCACATACATACACACATGTACGCACGCGCACGCGCGGGCACACACACACATACACACAAAATGGCTGGGTAAATCTTTTTTAATTCACATGACTGGGATCCATACAAACGAGGCCATCTCGCAGAGGCTGCCCATGATTTTGTACAGTACGAGTAGTCCTACAACAGAGGTATACTAGTTGTGGATAGAACATCAGTCATACTCTGTTTACCCTCCCCCGTTGATTTCACCTTGAGCATGATAAGAGTGATTTTTACCCATGGAACAGGACAGGCATAGAGGATTTGACCCTGAAATGCAATTGAACACCACATCCAATTAAATCAAATTTTGTGACAGCAAGATGGCTGGTTTTGGCAGGAAAAAGCCACAGAAGCAGATGCAATAATAAAAGTCGATGCTCCTTCGTACTGCACCGCTATCCAAAAGATCTGCCAACTATGCTCTTCGGTGATAGTGAGCCTGCCATGTGTTAGACTTGAGAGCAAAAGATGGTGAAACATGGCAGGCATTGAATAGAATCTAAACGAAATCTGCAAAATAAAAAATCACTCATCCGTTTTTCATCACGACCACACCCCGGCAGGTGAAGAGATAGTTCCTGATGAAGAATCATTCACTCTTGAGGAAATTCGATCGGTAATGTCACGGCAACACCCCTAGCAGTGTTGCTGGACAAGCACCACACAATACCCAGTTAGAGCGGACTATCCACGCTTGTTGTGCTTTGGTCATGTCATCCATGAAGGGCAGGGCACTGTGTCTTGCAAAGCCCTTTGGACTATGAATAACACATGGGATGTTCAGAGGCCCAGAAGTCACCGTTTGACCAGACGGGTAGGATATATTAACAACGACCTTTCATTGCTGAACATGCTACTTTCATAAACTGACAGCGCAGATATAACCCCCCCCCCCCCCCCCCACACACACACACACAGCCCCCCCCCCCACAAAGATACAGACATGAAGCATTGGCGCAGAAATACCTTCAGAAGCATCAAGGTCCACCAGAGGAGTGGTTCCGGGAGCAGGAAGTACCAGATCACCAACAACAGGCTGCAGGCCATACTCCTTGATGCGATAACTAGCCATCCTGTTCCAAATCCAGCTCTGATACGCGTGGAGATACAGTGAGAAGATAGCTACCTGCAACGGAGACAACAAACACACAGCAGCGTTTTGTCCGAGACAGCAAGACATTGAGCGAGCATCTTGCAGCACAAATGGAAACGAAAGAACACAGTCCTACCTACCCCAACGGTCAATCAACAACAACACACTTACCTGGCCAAGTGCACTTCGCAGATCGTCTTTGCCATGCTTCGCAATTCCACTGTACAAATCACGCTCCTGGCTAGACGAGCTGAGACAGGCCTTTGCCTTCTCCGCATCTCCTGTTGCCTTCCAGATGTTGTATGCTGCTCGAGTAGGAGAGTCACCTGTACATGGATGGAGTTCAGCCGATCAATCAGAAATCAGACGCACAGAGTTTCTTACATGCAGACATGCAACTGCGGCCATGCACTCCAGCAATCACAAAAGCAAAAAAGGCAACGAGGTGGACAGGCCGCTGGTTGGTCTACATAGAAGGTTTCCCAGTCAATAAAAGAACACTACTAATACTAATGCTTCAAGGCCAATAACGTACTTGCATCCACGTAAAGGTAGTACAGTGGTAGTAACTGAAATCTGACCCCTGGATTGTTTAATGTACCTGCTAACATGAGTCATAGTGAGTAGTGTGTATGCATCTGTCATGCCAGCAGAGCGTGAAAATCACTTTTTGGCACTCATTGTCTGGTGTTGTGTATGGCTGTGTACTACTGCAAACCTCTCTATTGTTTCTTGTGTAACTGCAAGATCCGCATGAGTACAGTACAGCAGTTCAGGTTTGCATGCATGCATGCATGCACTGCCCATGCTTTGAGGCTGGTGTGGTCACGTGCTGTACGAGCTACACCGCTCCCGCGGTTGGATTTCATGTGTCAAAACTGTACGTACAGCACTGCAATCTGGCCCAGACTGAAGGCCACAGGTTTGCATGCATGCATGCATGCACTGCCCATGCTTTGAGGCTGGTGTGGTCACGTGCTGTACGAGCTACACCGCTCCCGCGGTTGGATTTCAGTTGCCAAAACTGTACGGACAGCACTGCAATCCGGCCCATACTGAAGGCCAGGTTAGGTGTAAACTATCGCAACGCGCAGTAACTTTGCAACTGACTTGTTACTTCCTGAAGAGTAAACTAGCGGCAAGACGAAGACACCGGTGCATCAGCAGTCTTCTCGCCTCATGCGCACCCTACAGACCAAAGCAGCAGCGTGTGTCAAGTGACACTACCTCAACAGACTGAGTGCAGTGTGCTGCCCAATCCAAGGTTGCTTGGAACACCAGTGGGACCTGTGCGTGTGGAATGCCACAGCAGTAAGCGCGAGGCGCAAGGGTACGCTGCACTTGAGAGCAAGGGACACATAGTTCCCAGGCAAGGGTACTCACACATGCCCAAGAAAGCTGCTCTACGTATTCGTCTCGATTCCGAGGATCCAGTTCGTGGTGTCTAGCATACGAAAAATTCCAACTGTGACCAGCAGTCTTTGCTGGCACGGCACATGTACGGGATAGGGCCAGCCATGGTGCGTCATGTGATGACGGCCCACACCGTACCTACACTGAATTAAAATGTTGTGGACCCTGGCTAGCGCCAGACGTTACTAAAGTAACGTATTTTGCATGGCTATGGGAATAATTTAAATTATCACCAGTTTGAAGCAGAGTGCTGTACACGTTGAATTACTCCACACCAGTCTGACAGGATACAATCAAGAAGACCCAGCTACTTCTGGCATAGCTAGAGTGTGCCTCGTCATAGCAAGCTCATCTAATTTTCTCAACAAAGGCAGAAGCTCCATTGATAAAGATGCCACCTCCATATCCTGCCATAGATTTGTGTGCAATGGCGACATGATATGCGTACATAATAGCCGAGCATTGTCTGCCTGAGCAGTGTCTAGCTGAACATTGTCTGCCTGAGCAGTGTGTAGCTGAACATTGTCTAATTCAGTAATTGACAGTTCTTAGTAACTTCTTACTCTTAATCAAGGCCATGGTACCCAGGATCCGATCCACAGCGTCCTCAAGCTGATTGTTCATAAGTGCCCTTGACAAGCAAAACAGAAGAAAGGGATAGAATTGCAAAGCACAAACCGAGCAAAACTTGTCTTGTGCAGCAAAATAAATTTGAAGGTACCGTATTCGGAGGACTATATTAGTATAATGTGCACCTAAGTAAAATGCGTACCCCCTTTTTGGAGCAACACTTTGACAATTCGAGATACAGTCGAACTACCTTTATAACAATATTCGGATCGGACCAAGAAATATCGTTACAAGGGTGATATTGTTATAAGGGTAACTGGTTCATTTCATACATGTACGTCATAATGCATGATTTTTGTTCATTTTTTACTCTTCAGAGCATCAAAACATGCATTGTATGTTCTATGCACAGGATGCAGGATCATGCAGCTATTGATGCAGTCATATGACTCATATCATACTCGGAGGGAGTTGTGGTTGCTCGTGACAGCGCTCAATACGCCAAGGTGCAGAGCCTAGCACACACACTTAAGAGGAATCAAAAGCACTTTGGTACGCTTTTGATTCCTCTTAAGTGTGCGACTCATATCATAAAAAAATTGCTGCAGAATCGGAAGTGACAGCACGCTTATACATGCACTTGAGAGCAGTGCAGTCGGAAACACCCAAGCAGAAATACCATGGCAACAGTAGAGCGTGTAACTTAAAGGGGAAGTATAGTCTGAAATCAAATGTTCACCAGTTGTAGTCTTCGGGGTGCTGAGTCGAATGGTCTTGGTCCGAGGAAGCTGAGACGCTCCCTTCCTCATTTATTCCCAATCGAACTCGCCACTTCCACCGAAAATGGATGACTGTGCCCTACTAGATGGGAATTTGTATGCAAAATATCACTAAAAGCGCCATTTCGTTCTTATAAAAGCACGGATGTACGCGATTGGCTCATATGTTGTAGTCTTTTGGACGCTGAGTCGACTGGTTTTGGTCTGAGAAGGCTGCGATGTAGCGTTCGGCCCTTGTTCCCAATCGAACACGGTTGAGAAAACGGGCACATGCTCATGCGTACACCAGTCACCTGGTCACCGTGCCTGGCACTGCCTGCAGGCTGCAACTTTCACACCAAGGTTTAACTCAAAGGTTCAAAGGCTCAACTCGAGTGACAGGAACGCGCCCAAACAGGCTGTAAGTTGTAGCCTGCAGATACGGTGACCAGGTGACTGGTGTACGCACGAGCACGTCACCGCTTACTCAACCGTGTTCGATTAGGAATAAGCGCCAAACGCTGCATCGCAGCCTTCTCGGACCTTTCCAGTTGACTCAGCGTCCAAAAGACTACAACATGTGGCCAATCGCGGTCATCCGTGCTTTTATAAGAAAGAAATGGCGCCTTTAGTGATATTTTGCATACAAAATCTAGTAGGGCGCAGTCACCCAATTTCGGTGGAAGTGGCGAGTTCGATTGGGAATAAAGAAGGAAGAGGGCGTCTCAGCTTCCTCGGACGAAGACCATTCGACTCGGCACCCCCGAAGACTACAACTGGTGAACATTTGATTTTAGACTATACTTCCCCTTTAATACTAGTAAGCTGTGTTCATAACTAGAGGGTGTGCACCTGATACCGTCGCCACATCCCCCAAGAGCATAGCTAATGTTTTGAACACGCAGTTCACCTCATTTGGGCTACCTGATGATCCTTCATGGCGCATTCCCCCTTTGCCCCAGTCGCCTTTCATATCTGTTCCGTTCCGTTCAATCACTGTCACTACGTTTCAAGTTCGGAAATATTTGAAGCGCCTGAAATGTGGAAAGTCTCCCGGCTCAGATGGGATCCCGAATGCAGTGCTGCAGTCTCTTGCACCATCAATAGCCTATCCTCTCGCCATTATTTTCAATATGTCATTTCGGACTGGTAAATTCCCACAGGATTGGAAATCCGCCATCATGACACCGCTTTACAAGAATAAAGGCTCCCGTGCTTGCCCGGCAAACTACCGCCCCATCTCTCTGCTGCGCACAGTTTCCAAGCTTTGTGAACGTATTGTATTCGATTCCCTCTACCTGCACATCGCTCCGGCTCTCTCATCAGCTCGATCGGGATTCTGCCGTGGTGACTCAACTCAATACCAGGTGACTTGACTTGTCCAAGACATAGCGACAAAGAGGAACTGTGGGGAGCACGTGGGAATCGTGTTTTTCGACTTGGCTAAGGCATTCGACACCGTATGGCATCGTGGCTTACTTGCCAAGTTGGAGGTCACCTTCCGGGTGGAGGATGCTGCCTTGCGTTGGATATCATCGTATCTGTCTGCTCGTTCTCAGGCTGTTCGCTTGTCCTATTTCTTGTCTGATACCCTCCCTGTAACGTCTGGAGTGCCCCAAGGTTCCATTCTGGGTCCTTTGTTATTCTTGCTTTACGTTAATGACGTACCTTCAGTTGTCCCCGATGTTAGTTTGTATGCGAATGACACTGGCCTTATCTGTTCTGATTCCTCCCCTGCACAATTACTCCTTACCATGCAGCATCGCATCAACAGCACTGTCATGTGGATGCACACGTGGAAACTCCAGCCCAATTTAGACAAGACAGAAGCCATGTATATTTCTTCATCCCCTCCTGATCAACCATCATACTTCCCTGACTCGCCTATGCCTATCAGTGTTGTTACTCAGCACAAACATCTCGGTGTGATGTTTGACGGCAACCTCTCTTGGGCCGCACATGCCAACTGTGTATGCAAGAGAACCAGTTCAGCATTAGGGGTACTCCAACCACATTGCACTCATTTGCCCATCCAGTGTAAACTATTATTTTATCAGTGCTATATTTTCCCTATATTTGACTATTGCGATACCGCTTGGTGTGGCCTTTCTGACGCAACTCGGAACCACTTAGAAGTCCACCATAGATTTATACTTCAAATTCTTTACAACAAGGATCGATGTTTTCCTTCGGATGCCCTTTATCGACTTGCACACACTTCTCCTCTCTCCTTTCGTCATAAGCACCATCTCTGTACACTGGTTCATAAAATATTTCTTCATAAAACCCCTTCACACATAGTGAAGTACAATTGGTTTTCGACAAGCTCAACCCGTAACGCGCTCATCCTGCCTCTTGTTAAGTCAGCCCGGTATCTAAAGTCCCTCTTGTTTTCCGGTTACTCTCATTGGTTATCATTACCATAATGTCTGAAAACTTGTTCTTCTATTGGTCAGTTTAAAGATCTACTATCACAACTGAACTAGACACGATTATTTATTATCGAAGAACATTCTCGAATACCTGGGTGATGCAAGAATATTGATTGTGCTCACTTCCGTTAATCGTTTTTCTTTGTAATTTTCCACTCATTTTTGCTTTTGTTTTCCTAGCTTACTATTGCCGTGGCTGGCTAAACGCCCTTGTCTCAGGGTATTCTGTCCCTGCATTAGCTATGCTTGTCACATGCTATGAGATTGTGTCTAATAATAATAATAATACCTGCCAATGAAGTGGGAGCCAGATGAGCTCGAACCAAATCGTTGCATTCCAAAGTAGTTGATAAAGCCAGTGTCAGCCAGCGAGCGCATACCAGCTGTCAAAACATCTTCAGTGCCTTCAAAATGCCTGGGCAATGTACACACATGGTAAGATAAGTTAGATAACAAACCGTAACGTCGTGTATAAAAGCCGCGGCTTTAATATATGACCTTTCGGGGGGGATTTTGCAGGCTTATATATGAGACAGGCGTCTATACAAGACAGGTATTTCTATGTATGTCAACACTAAAATCAGGCTTATGTGCCGACAGTGTATCTTGAAAATCAGGCTTCTCTTCAAAAGCAGGCTTCTATGTGAAACAGGCTTTAATACAAGACACTACGGTACTTCAGCCCTATTCAGTACACGTATCTTCTAAAACGCTTTTTTTAAGCATTATGAAGACACTACTTTAAAAAAAAGTATGGCAAACTAAGCTCGCCGCTGAGTTCTAAGTTTGGGGATCAACAGTGTTGCTCAATGAAATCAGATCGTGTGAATCAAGTTTGCGCCCTGCGCCAGTTCACATCCTAGAGTTGGCAGGTCTGCGTGGTATCCACTTGCTTGATCGGATTGCTTTGAGCACTGCACTGTAGGTTCACAGTGGTGATAACAACAAGCAAAATCACCAACTACTGTGCGAGTGATTCGATTCATTTCAACAATGTATTCTATTGGATCGTCCAGAGGCGTAATGACTTCAAGCATAATACAAATTGCCATTGCCACTCGGATATAAGCACCCGCCTAACAACCTCGCCCCTCCCCCCCCCCCCCCCCTCCCCCACACACACATCTCACATACTTGGTCCGCGTCAGCGGTATTGTCGCTTATCTTTCAGCTTTGTTTATGTGTCGCCAAAGCTCACTCGGCAGCCCATTTCATCCCAATTTTGGTTAGTAAGTTAGTTTACTAGTACCTGAAAGGTCTAGCTACAGTTCGAGTGGATTTCGAGAGCGACGGGTGGGTGATTCTGATTGATACAGCGCCGAATCAAAATAGGTTATCTTGTTACGCTGTGCAGGCCAGAGCAGCGCAAGCCACAAGAAAGTAATCGGCTACTCGGAATCAGCACCATTTTGCTGAACGGCCGAGATCGCTCACCTCAGGGATCGCTCGTCAAGCTGAGATCTCAGCTCCCTTACGTCCAACTCAACGCTCGGAGTATCCAGCGCGTCGTGGAGATTTGCAAGTACTGTACGCGTCGTCGTCGTCGTTCAAATCTTGCAAAGAACGGCGTCTGATTTGAACCACACAGGCTGTCGTACTGCCCACACGAAGTCCAAAAGCGACCGTCACGATCGACTTCTGTTTAGAAAATAGCCAGGCAGCGGAGAGGAAGAGAGATGAGCTTGCAAAAGCAAGAGAGTCGAACCCGAGCAAAAATATTTGTCACCAGCGTCGAGAGCAGCGACGAAGAGGACCGAAAAAAGTAGGAACCCTTCCTTGGACAATAAATTCCTTACAGCTTCAGTAAAACCTGTAACTAACGACCACCCCTTGGTGCCCGGAAAAGTGGTCGTTAGTGGTAGGTGGTCTTTAGTTAGAGGTTTGCACTGCGCGACCATATATGGATCCCATTATAATGATATGTATGTCAAAATGCAGATAATACAATCCCCCACCACTTGCGCACTGACATTCTTCTTTCAGATCATACAACACTTGGAGAGAGAGAAAATCAAGTTTTTTATACACCGGAAGCGATACGAGCTTTTGACACGTATGTTGACTCACTGGGTTTCCAGAGCAGCGCTGGCGCCTGGCCAGGCAGTGGACTAGTCACTATCGACTCCATCCTCATCTGTGTGCGACTACACCATGTAC